CTTGCATTTTTTTGCTACATAATTTCCCTCATTTATTAAAATGGGTTTTCCCCGCCAGTTCTCTGTCCCACTGAACCCCCTTTCAGGGAAATTCCTTTATTCCTGTGTAAATCCCCTTTCTTTTAGTTTGACTTCATTTGTCCCGGCCCCCCTTCCCTTCTTTCTTTCCCCCCACTTGTAAACTCTACTGTGTATTCGAACTTTTTAAAAACCCCATGGTCGCTGGCCCCAAGGGTCTTTTTAAAGAATGCCCTCGATTCTGCCACTACTCAAAGGTTTAATACTAAGTTCCCAAACCCGGGTGGTTCATCCTCTCCTCTCTCTCTTTTAAATGTCCCCTTTCTGTTGTTTCATGAAGTTTTCCAGACCACCTTTCCCCATCCCTTTAAACCCCCCAAAGGGATCTTGGCCCCCCCCCGGGTCCAAGTTCTCCCAATCGATCTTCCGGGGGATTTTTAAAATCACCCTGATCAAGCTTTTCCCTGCAAGCATGAGCTTTTTCGGCCACTGCACCAGTGTATCAACCATCGCTTATTGCTCTCGGTTTTCATTTCCTTTGGGCCCCCCTGCTGTTCTTTTGGTGGGGTTTCAAATCACTACTATTACCACCTTGGGGGCCCCCCCCCGGGGTGAAGCGTTCCCCATGTACACTTTCTTCTCCGCTGTCCCCTCTCTTCCCGCTCATCAAACTTCCAGCGATTTTTTTATCAGCAAAAGCCAAATCCTTTCCCCCCCCCCTGTTCTCTCTTCCCTTCCCCCACATTTGGTTCCCATTGGAAAAAGGCATCTGTTATCATACCTTAAACTTGGTTTTTTGGGGAGAGCTAAAATGTCCCGGGGATGCCCTTTTTTGCTCCCTTTTGTGCCACTCCTCCCATTATTTGTTATTCCATCAGCGTTTGTGGGGTTAACCCTAACCTTCAGTTTCCTTTTTAAAAAAATGTGGGGTTTGGGGGGGCCCGTTTAGGGTTGGGGGACCTTGGTACAACTGTGGATTCCCATAGCCGGTGTTGGGTGGAGGGGTGGGGGAAAGGATTGTAGTGTGTGTTGGGATGGGGTGATAGGTTTTGGGGTTCTGAGAATATTTTTGTTTGTGCTTGCCCTTGCTGTTCTGTTCTGCTCTGACTGACCTCTGCTGGTTCCATCCTTGTCTCCTTTCCTAGCTCCTTTCGCTTTTTTGTCCTCTCCCTCAGCTGCTGTCGTTCTGTTTGTGTTCTGTCTTTGTCTAGGAACACCCTCTTGTATTCTTCCGAGTATTTCAACCGTGGTTTCTCTTGTGTGTGTGTGTGTGTGTGTGTGTGTGTGTGTGTGTGTGTACTCACCTAATTGTACTCACCTAATTGTGGTTGCAGGGGTCGAGACTCAGCTCCTGGCCCCGCCTCTTCACTGATCGCTACTGGATCCTCTCTCTCTGTGCTTCCTGAGCTTTGTCATACCTCTTCTTAAAACTATGTATGGTTCCTGCCTCCACTACTTCACTTGCTAGGCATTCCACTTGCTGACAACTCTATGACTGAAGAAATACTTCCTAACGTCCCTGTGACTCGTCTGAGTCTTCAGCTTCCAGTTGTGACCCCTTGTCCCTGTGTCCCCTCTCTGGAACATCCTATCTCTGTCCACCTTGTCTATTCCCCGCAGTATCTTATATGTCGTTATCATGTCTCCCCTGACCCTTCTGTCCTCCAGTGTCGTCAGTCTGATTTCCCTTAACCTTTCCTCGTACGACATTCCCTTGAGCTCTGGGACTAGCCTTGTTGCAAACCTTTGTACTTTCTCTAACTTCTTGACGTGCTTGACCAGGTGTGGGTTCCAGACTGGTGCTGCATACTCCAGTATGGGCCTAACATACACAGTGTACAGTGTCTTGAACGATTCCTTATTAAGGTATTGGAACGCTATTCTCAGGTTTGCCAGGCGCCCGTATGCTGCAGCGGTTATTTGGTTGATGTGTGCCTCCGGTGATGTGCTCGGTGTTATGGTCACCCCAAGGTCTTTCTCCCTGAGTGAGGTCTGTAGTCTTTGTCCACCTAGCCTATACTCTGTCTGCGGTCTTCTTTGCCCCTCCCCAATCTTCATGACTTTGCATTTGGCTGGATTGAATTCGAGAAGCCAGTTGCTGGACCACATGTCCAGACTGTCCAGGTCTCTTTGCAGTCCTGCCTCATCCTCGTCCGATTTAATTCTTCTCATCAACTTCACGTCATCTGCGAACAGGGACACCTCAGAGTCTATTCCTTCCATCATGTCGTTCACATATATCAAAAATAGCACTGGTCCTAGAACTGACCCCTGTGGGACCGCGCTCGTAACAGGCGTCCACTGTGATACCTCTTCACGTACCATGACTCGTTGCTGCCTCCCTGTCAGGTATTCCCTTATCCATTGCAGTGCCCTCCCTTTTACATGCGCCTGATCCTCCAGCTTCTGCACTAATCTCTTGTGGGGAACTGTGTCAAAAACTTTCCTGCAGTCTAGGAAAACGCAATCTACCCACCCCTCTCTCTCGTGTCTTACTTCTGTTACCTTGTCATAAAGCTCCAGGAGGTTTGTGATACAAGATTTGCCTTCCATGAACCCATGCTGGTTTTCATTTATAATCTTGTTCGTTTCCAGGTGTTCGACCACTCTCCTCCTGATAATCTTCTCCATGACTTTGCACACAATACATGTCAGAGACACAGGTCTGTAGTTTAGTGCCTAGTTTCTGTTTCCTTTCTTAAATATGGGGACTACATTAGCTGTCTTCCATTTCTCAGGTAGTTGCCCAGTTTCAAGGGATGTGTTGAAGATTGTGGTTAGAGGCATGCACAGCATCTCTGCTCCTTCTCTAAGGACCCATGTGTGTGTGTGTGTGTGTGTTTATTTATTTATTTATTTATTTATAAATTTTAGCATACATACAGAGGTACAAAAAATACAGGTAAGAGCAGCATGCCAAAGCCACTTATATGCATAGCATTACGGGCTGGCTTAAAATTAACTTAAGATTAACTAAGCAATGATGAAATCAGTGATAAAACATTATTGTAAACAGATAACTATAAAGCACAAATGAGTATTACAAAGACAGGTCATATGGTTGCTTGTATTGCTGTACATTCACTAGATTGGAGTATTCTGTTAGGTTGGGTCCTAGGTTTAACATTTATGTGATATAATTGTGAGTAACATATAGGATATACAATTTATAAGGTTCAGTTATTCAGTATTTATTTGGTTTTGAGTGAGTAAGTGATCTTTGAGAAGAGACTTGAATTTATAAACTGGTAGTGTTTCTTTTATATTTACAGGTAATGAATTCCAGATTTTAGGGCCTTTTATGTGCATTGAGTTTTTGCATAGTGTGAGATGGACACGAGGAACATCAAAGAGTGATCTGTGCCTTGTATTATGGTCATGTGTTCTGTTGAGGTTGGCAAGGAGATGTTTGAGGGGAGGGTTAATATCAGAGTTAAGTGTTCTATGTATGTAATAAGTGCAATAATAAGTATGGATGTTTTGTATGGTGAGTAGGTTGAGTGTTTTGAATATTGGTGGAGTGTGCTGCCTGTAGTGAGAATTTGTTATCATTCTGACTGCAGCCTTTTGTTGGGTAATTAGTGGTCTGAGATGGTTAGTTGTTGTTGAGCCCCATGCACAAATTCCATAGGTGAGATAGGGGTAAATAAGAGAGTGATATAGGGCCAGGAGGGCTGACTGTGGAACATAGTACCGTATCTTCGATAGTATGCCTACAGTCTTGGAAATTTTCTTAGAAATTTGTTATAATGAATGGTTTGAAAAACCGACAAGTTGAAGATTGAGACACTTATGCAGCATATGGGAATCTTTATTCAGGAAACGTTTCGCCACACAGTGGCTTCATCAGTCCAATACAAAGAGGAAGGCGTAAGGAGAGGAGGAGTATGAGGTAATCAGTCCCTCAGCCTGGAGTCGATGTGTTCAGTCCATCAATCTTGTAGAATGTACAGCATAGGGCCGTAGACGTGGCTTATATACTGTAGTGAGGTGACGTGAAGCAGGAGGAGGCGGGGTCATAGTGGTACCATCCACTAGTCGAAGTAGGTCTTTGTCCAAAGGTTGAACAAGTGTTGAAGAATTCTTTGTAACAAGATCCCATGATGCTGCAGTGTCTGACAGTTGTGATGAATGGTTTGAAAAACCGACAAGTTGAAGATTGAGACACTTATGCAGCATATGGGAATCTTTATTCATCTGTATTCACTACAGTATATAAGCCACGTCTACGGCCCTATGCTGTATATTCTACAAGATTGATGGACTGAACACATCGACTCCAGGCTGAGGGACTGATTACCTCATACTCCTCCTCTCCTTACGCCTTCCTCTTTGTATTGGACTGATGAAGCCACTGTGTGGCGAAACGTTTCCTGAATAAAGATTCCCATATGCTGCATAAGTGTCTCAATCTTCAAATTTGTTATATATGTGTATGAAATTTGAGTCTATTATCAAGGTGGATTCCTAAGAATTTTCCCTCTGTTAGTTTTGTGATAGGTGATCCATTTATCATTATGTTAAGAGGGACATCTGAAGCTCTGTTACCAAACTGAATGAACTAGGTTTTGTCAATGTTTAGTGTAAGTTTGTTAGTCCTCATCCAGGTAGATATTTTCTGTAATTCGGTGTTTGCAGTATTGGCTAGCGTGACTGGGCTCGGGTGAGAGAAGACGTATGTGGTGTCATCTGCAAATAGTGTGGGTTTGAGTAATTGCGAAGCATTTGGTAGGTCATTTATGTATAGGAGAAAGAGAAGAGGGCCAAGGACACTTCCCTGTGGGACACCAACTGTAATTGGTTGTAATTGTGTGTGTGTGTGTGTGTGTGTGTGTGTGTGTGTGTGTGTGTGTGTGTGTGTGTGTGTGTGTGTGTGTGTGTGTGTGTGTGTGTGTGTGAGTGTATGTGTGTGTATAATTTACCAACACCCCACGTAACAGCTGACTAACAGCTGACAAACAGCTGACTTACAACTGACTTACCTGGCAGTTTACTGGAGACTTTACATCTGGCCTTACTACAGCGGTACAGTCCTGAACACCTGCAGTCAGAGTCACTTCTACACATCTTTCCTCTCAGCTCAGCACATTCTCGCTGTAAGAGAGATTAAAACATCGTAAGATCTGCTGGGTAGGTGTGTGGGTCTGTAACATTAATTACCACTAGCACTGAATGTCTTACGGACCTCCTAGTTACTTCTAGATGTCTTGAAATTGACGTCAGGTTGCTTATAACGATCTTACAGACCTCCTAGTTACTTCTAGATGTCTTGAAATTGACGTCAGGTTGCTTATAACGATCTTACAGACCTCCTAGTTACTTCTAGATGTCTTGAAATTGACGTCAGGTTGCTTATAACGATCTTACAGACCTCCTAGTTACTTCTAGATGTCTTGAAATTGACGTCAGGTTACTTACAACGATCTTACAGTCTCACTAGTTACTTCTAGATGTCTGGAAATTGACGTCAGGTTACTTACAACGATCTTAGAGACTCACTAGTTACTTCTAGATGTCTCGAAATTGACGTCAGGTTACTTACAACGATCTTACAGTTTCACTAGTTACTTCTAGATGCCTGGAAATTGACATCAGGTTACTTACAACGATCTTACAGTCTCACTAGTTACTTCTAGATGTCTAGAAATTGACGTCAGGTTACTTACAACGATTTTACAGACCTCCTAGTTACCTCTAGATGTCTTGAAATTGACGTCAGGTTACTTACAACGATCTTACAGACTTCGTAGTTACTTCTAGATGTCTTGAAATTGACGTCAGGTTGCTTACAACGATCTTACAGATTTCTAGTTACTTCTAGATGTCTTGAAATTGACGTCAGGTTACTTATAACGAACTTACAGACCTCCTAGTTACTTCTAGAGGCCCTTGAAAGATTACTTAGAGTCAGTACACACTAAGACTCCATAGATAGTGTGTACTGACAGATCACCTGTAGTTAGCGACCCTTAACAGCCTGATTGGTCATTAAGATTTAATTGCCTATCTAAACTACCTTTATTAATTAACCAATCATCTTCACACACTACCTGCGTCACCTAATTACCAGGCAATTATGTACTGGGGTGCAAATGACTTGATATAGTGGTTAATGGGGTTTAAAGTCTATCTACAGCACGAGGGTCATTAAGACTGGTTGGTTGGTTAATGGGGTTTAAAGTCTATCTACTACACGAGGGTCATTAAGACTGGTTGGTTGGTTAATGGGGTTTAAAGTCTATCTACTACACCAGGGTCATTAAGACTGGTTGGTTGGTTAATGGGGTTTAAAGACTATCTACTACACCAGGGTCATTAACAATGGTTGGTTGGTTAATGGGGCTTAAAGTCTATCTACTACACCAGGGTCATTAAGACTGGTTGGTTGGTTAATGGGGTTTAAAGTCTATCTACTACACGAGGGTCATTAAGACTGGTTGGTTGGTTAATGGGGTTTAAAGTCTATCTACTACACCAGGGTCATTAAGACTGGTTGGTTGGTTAATGGGGTTTAAAGTCTATCTACTACACGAGGGTCATTAAGACTGGTTGGTTGGCTAATGAGGTTTAAAGTTTATCTACTACACGAGGGTCATTAAGACTGGTTGGTTGGTTAATGGGGTTTAAAGTCTATCTACTACACGAGGGTCATTAAGACTGGTTGGTTGGTTAATGGGGTTTAAAGTCTATCTACTACACGAGGGTCATTAAGACTGGTTGGTTGGTTAATGGGGTTTAAAGTCTATTTACTACACGAGGGTCATTAAGGCTGGTTGGTTGGTTAATGGGGTTTAAAGTCTATCTACTACACCAGGGTCATTAAGGCTGCAGGTCACCTGGTCACCACCAGTCAAGAATACTTTAATACCTAAAATACTGATTAATATAAACTACCAGTGTATATACACTGAAATATACACCTCTCAGTGTATATACACTGAGATATACACCACTCAGTGTATATACACTGAGATATACACCACTCAGTGTATATACACTGAGATATACACCTCCCAGTGTATATACACTGAGATATACTCCTCTCAGTATATATACACTGAGATATACACCACTCAGTGTATATACACTGAAATATACACCTCCCAGTGTATATACACTGAGATATACACCACTCAGTATATATACACTGAGATATACACCTCTCAGTGTATATGCACTGAGATATACACCTCCCAGTGTATATACACTGAGATATACACCACTCAGTGTATATACACTGAGATATACACCTCCCAGTGTATATACACTGAGATATACTCCTCTCAGTATATATACACTGAGATATACACCTCTCAGTGTATATACTGAGATATACTCCTCTCAGTGTATACACGATAGTACATGGGTGTAGATGGTAGTCAGTCCCTGAAGCTTGACAGCAGGTAGTGAGTCCCTGAAGCTTGACAGCAGGTAGTGAGTCCCTGAGCTTGACAGCAGGTAGTGAGTCCCTGAAGCTTGGCAGCAGGTAGTGAGTCCCTGAAGCTTGACAGCAGGTAGTGAGTCCCTGAAGCTTGACAGCAGGTAGTCAGTCCCTGAAGCTTGACAGCAGGTAGTGAGTCCCTGAAGCTTGGCAGCAGGTAGTGAGTCCCTGAAGCTTGACAGCAGGTAGTGAGTCCCTGAAGCTTGACAGTCAGGTAGTGATTCCTGAACTTGACAGCAGGTAGTGAGTCCGAAGCTTGACACAGCAGTGAGTCCCTGAAGCTTGACAGCAGGTAGTGAGTCCTGAAGCTTGACAGCGGATAGTGAGTCCCTGAAGCTTGACAGCAGGTAGTGAGTCCCTGAAGCTTACAGCAGGTAGTGAGTCCCTGAAGCTTGACAGCAGGTAGTGAGTCCCTGAAGCTTGACAGCAGGTAGTGAGTCCCTGAAGCTTGACAGCAGGTAGTGAGTCCCTGAAGCTTGACAGCAGGTAGTGAGTCCCTGAAGCTTGGCAGCAGGTAGTGAGTCCCTGAAGCTTGACAGCAGGTAGTGAGTCCCTGAAGCTTGACAGCAGTAGTCCAGTCCCTGAAGCTTGACAGCAGGTAGTGAGTCCCTGAAGCTTGCAGCAGGTAGTGAGTCCCTGAAGCTTGACAGCAGGTAGTGAGTCCCTGAAGCTTGACAGCAGGTAGTGATTCCCTGAAGCTTGACAGCACGTAGTGAGTCCCTGAAGCTTGACAGCAGGCAGTGAGTCCCTGAAGCTTGACAGCAGGTAGTGAGTCCCTGAAGCTTGACAGCAGGTAGTGAGTCCCTGAAGCTTGACAGCAGGTAGTGAGTCCCTGAAGCTTTACAGCAGGTAGTGAGCCCCTGAAGCTTGACAGCAGGTAGTGAGTCCCTGAAGCTTGACAGCAGGTAGTGAGTCCCTGAAGCTTGACAGCAGGTAGTGAGTCCCTGAAGCTTGACAGCAGATAGTGAGTCCCTGAAGCTTGACAGCAGGTAGTGAGTCCCTGAAGCTTGACAGCAGGTAGTGAGTCCAGAAGCTTACAGCAGGAAGTAGTCCCTAAAGCTTGACAGCAGGTAGTGAGTCCCTGAAGCTTGACAGCAGGTAGTGAGTCCCTGAAGCTTCACATCAGGTAGTGAGTCCCTGAAGCTTGACAGCAGGTAGTGAGTCCCTGAAGCTTGACAGCAGGTAGTGAGTCCCTGAAGCTTGACAGCAGGTAGTGAGTCCCTGAAGCTTGACAGTAGGTAGTGAGTCCCTGAAGCTTGACAGCAGGAAGTGATTCCCTGAAGTTTGACAGCGGGAAGTGAGTCCCTGAAGCTTGACAGCAGGTAGTGAGTCCCTGAGGCTTGACAGCAGGTAGTGAGTCCCTGAAGCTTGACAACAGGATGTGAGTCCATGAAGCTTGACAGCAGGTAGTGAGTCCCTTAAGCTTGACATCAGGAATTGAGTGTCTGAAGCTTGACAGCAGGTAGTGAGTCCCTGAAGCTTGACAGCAGGTAGTGAGTCTCTGAAGCTTCACATCAGGTAGTGAGTCCCTGAAGCTTGACAGCAGGTAGTGAGTCACTGAAGCTTGACAGCAGGTAGTGAGTCCCTGAAGCTTGACAGCAGGTAGTGAGTCCCTGAGGCTTGACAGCAGGTAGTGAGTCCCTGAAGCTTGACAACAGGATGTGAGTCCCTGAAGCTTGACAGCAGGTAGTGAGTCCCTGAGGCTTGACAGCAGGTAGTGAGTCCCTGAAGCTTGACAACAGGATGTGAGTCCATGAAGCTTGACAGCAGGTAGTGAGTCCCTTAAGCTTGACATCAGGTAGCGAGTGTCTGAAGCTTGACAGCAGGTAGTGAGTCCCTGAAGCTTGACAGCAGGTAGTGAGTCTCTGAAGCTTCACATCACGTAGTGAGTCCCTGAAGCTTGACAACAGGATGTGAGTCCCTGAAGCTTGACAGCAGGTAGTGAGTCTCTGAAGTTTGACAGCAGGTAGTGAGTCCCTGAATCTTGACAGCAGGTAGTGAGTCCCTGAAGATTGACAGCAGGTAGTCAGTCCCTAAAACTTGACAGCAGGTAGTCAGTCCCTGAATCTTGACAGCAGGTAGTCAGTCCCTGAAGCTTGACAGCAGGTAGTGAGTCCATGAAGCTTGACATCAAGTAGCGATGTCCTGAACTTGACACGGTGTCCCGACACAGCAGGTAGTGAGTCCCTGAAGCTTGACAGCAGGAAGTGAGTATCTGAAGCTTGACAGCAGGTAGTGAGTCCCTGAAGATTGACAGCAGGTAGTCAGTCCCTAAACTTGACAGAGCAGTGATCAGTGAAGCAGGTCCCTGAAACTTGACAGCAGGTAGTCAGTCCCTGAAGCTTGACAGCAGGTAGTGAGTCACTGAAGCTTGACAGCAGGTAGTGAGTCCCTGAAGCTTGACAGCAGGTAGTGAGTCCCTGAAACTTGATAGCAGGAAGTCAGTCCCTGAAACTTGACAGCAGGTAGTCAGTCCCTGAAGCTTCACAGCAGGCAGTGAGTCCCTGAAGCTTGACAGCAGGTAGTGAGTCCCTGAAGCTTGACAGCAGGTAGTGAGTCCCTGAAGCTTGACAGCAGGTAGTGAGTCCCTGAAGCTTGACAGTAGGCAGTGAGTCCCTGAAGGTTGACAGCAGGAAGTGATTCCATGAAGTTT